ATGGCTGACTGCTCACAAAGCAGAAAAATTGGACAGAATGTTTCTGATACGGAAAATACAGTAAAAGCTATGCAGAAAAACGTATCTCAGAGAAGTAAACGCTCAGGCAGCTGACAGTGCATACTATCTGGTGGCTAAGCAAGAAGTAATAAAGAAAAAGTATGAAGACACCAGTCACGATCAGGGGACTTGTGAATGTAACATTCGCCATGCGGGTGCCTGCTATTGAGTGTCTTCCTTGGCATAGAGAGAGTTGGAGCCAAAAGCCATAAATTGACTTGACTTCATTTTCAACGTGATGCATTTATGAAACTTTTATTTGGGGTTGTTTTAATTTTTGCCCACCTTGTTCCAAGTAAAAAAAGAACTAGCATGGTGGAAGGAATCCTGTCCTAGGGGTGAGAAACAATAAAAGAAAATATAAAAGAAATAATCAAAATAAAAGAGACAAGAGTCCTTCTGTCTCAGATGGACTGCTAACTATCTCTGTGACCTTGGAAAAGTCAGTTTACTTCCCAAGCCCCATTTTCCTCATCTATGAAATAAGAGGGTTAGACTAAGGCCAGATAGAGCTCTGCAATGTAGAATATGACTTTTAAAGCATTAGTTCTATTTTGTGATTCTTGCCTGCAGATGTCAATACTTACGAATAAAATGTAAGCAGAACTTGGCAAAGCCAGATGTGTATTTATGATTCTCAGTGAATCATCTGATTCCCCCACCCCCCAGGCCTCAAGGCATTCTTTGTCCACCAGTTTTTGTATTTACTTTTAATTTTTCCCTTCCACAACTAAGAAAAAAAAAGATTTTGATGACTGCTATCATTAGCAAGTGACAAACAGTTCAGCAACAGAATATTCATTTAAAAACTAAAAAATAACTGAACATGAAATATTAAAAATCTTAAATGGAATCAGTGCTCATAGTTGTGACTCTTTATATACACTATAGTTACTAGTTGATTTATTGAGATTCACAAATATGTGGCTTTGCCAAGTTCTGTATACTTTCTATTCATAAACATTTTTGTCTGCAAAGCAAATTTCACAACTTTAAACTATGCTTTTAGAAGCAGTCATATGCCAAATTCTAGGGCTGTCATTGGCCTTAGTCTAACCTCCTCATTTCAGAGATAAAACGTGATGCATTTCTGTGTAATTGTTAAAAACATCAGTATTCCACGGTGTTCTACACAGAAGACTACAGTGATCAGATTCGCTGTCCCTTGAGCTCACCTGTAAGGCAGAGCCTCTCCTAAATGAGAGAACTGAAGCTTGGTTAAACTATCTTGCCCAAGGTTGCGGCCAGTTAATGGTGCTCACAAGACCTAAACCAGGCAGTCTGACTCTAAGCTCAATTACAACATATCTGTTCCTGACCTGGACTTCTTGCCAAAACATCAGCTCCCGGAGAGGGTGGGGCACTCTGTGCAGCCGCAGCCCCACAGCCTCCAACAGGGCAGGCCCGGCAGCAGCAGGTGGGCCAGCGGTTGCCTCACAGACTGCTTTCCCCCAGTCCTGATTCCAGGTGATAGGCGTCATTTTTCCCTTCTGTGCGTGGATGTCCAAGGATGTCTGGGCTCTTGGGAGTGGAGGCCTGAGGAAGAGAGGCTATGAGAAGGAGGACAGTGATCCCTTCCTCATAGCCCTGACTCTCCCGTTCCAGCTTTCCGTCTCAGGATGTTTACTGTTTAGCAGTTTATTGGAAGGCATAGCACTGAAGGAAGAACAATTTCTTGTGAACTAATGGTTCATATTCTAAACTCTAAGAATGACAAACTTTTCAGTTCTCTACCCCCTTACTTTCCTGTCTGACTGTGTAAGTGTATGTGATTTAATTGTCCAGGAAACTTAGGATTCACCTTAGTAACCCTTGTGTCCCAGTGAGCACCGGACTTCCCTTGCTTTTTTGAATTTGGGAGCATTGTTTACTCAGTATGAAGGAGTTTTGGAAAAGGCGAGAAGGGAAGCTCAGAGCTGAAGAAATAAAAAAGAATAATACTGTAATCATAACAACTCATTGTTTTTAAGCTTGATCTTTCAGAAGGTTACTATCTGAAGTTGAATACTAATGGATTCTCTGTTTATGCAGAGGAAATCTTAAACAGCAGTGCTCATAGGGAAGGGCATTAATCAGGAGAGAGAAGAAGGCCTTGTACCTAATAATGTTTGCATAATAGCTACCCTTGAGTGTATTGCTTGACTTAAAAATATTCATGTTTTCCATCTCTAGTACAATTGGAAATTATTTGTGGTTATGATTCTTTTATATGGTCTTCTTCCTGTTCATGGGGACTTATATTAGGAGGCTGTAGGAAACCAAAAGACGTAAATAAAAATGGTTGTGAATGAGCCTGAGGCAGCCATGGGAAGCCACTATAATGTGGGCAATCTGGAGAAAATGAGCAGAGAGCAGGCCATCACTCTGTTCGTGGGAGGGGAGGGGCAGAATCAAACTGGCATGCTTAAGGACATTTACACGACCCGCTGATACACTTTTAACTCCTCCATAGCTTCTCATTATCCACAGGATAAAACTCAAGAACAGTGCCTTTTCTTGACATAGAGTTGCTCACTGGTGTGATCCCTGTGGAACTCCTCAGTAATGGCCTGAGGTGATGCAGCCTCACATGTGATCATGAAGAACTCTTCCCAGGGCTCCTCAGACAGCATGATTTAACTTCCAAGTCTTTGTTCATCTCCTCCTTTCATCCTGTAAGGGTTTTCCAAATCTTCTTTGCTAATTAAATCCATTTTTTGTGGAAGAGTTAGCTTAAACTTCACCTCCAACAATCCTTCGAATTCCACAGCTATAAGTTTTACCCCAGCCTCTCATTCATTCATTCATTTTTACTACCTTCTCAATAGCCTTTGTCCTGGGGAATTTTTTCAACGTCTTGATGTATTGCTTACATGCATCAGATTTTTTCACACAAGTGTTCTAAATTGATGAATTCTTTTTTTATCTTGCTCCTTTATTCTTTTTCTTTTGAATTTCCGGGAAATGTTTCAATATGATCTTAAAAACATAGGCTCTACACTGCTGTGAATTTCTGTGTGTGAGTTTCAAGGCTCTTGGTTAGCTGCCTTCTTTCTTTCCTTGGATGTTCTACCACAGTCAAGAGGACATCCAGTAGTATAAAAGCCCAAACTGATTTGTTCTCCCAGATCTGCAATAGCTAATACTCTGCCCTGCCTCTCCCTCCCTGTACTCTGATGTAGAGTTGTCACTTCGGGGTTAAGCCCCAACCATCCCCCTGGTTCCTTCATCCATGCCTCTCCTCTGATGGGTACTGTATGAACAGATAGATGTCTGCTTGACTTCACACACCAATTTACCCTCATTGCCAGGCTCTTTCTCCACCATCTTGGCCACACGTGATTGTTTTCATGTTCTTATATGCAGTCACAAAAGTACTCTATAAACTATCCCTTCTGTTAATGTAACATATCTATTTATGAAAAAAGCACTTTTGGGGGTTCATCTTTACTACAGAGAAGTGAGCAGGGCTGCTGTTAATCTTATTCTACAAATAAGAAAAGTTGTTCAAAAAGTTTGAATGACTTTTTATGTGTCTAGAGATAGGAATTAGATTCCAGTGCCTTTTTCACAACACTGTAAATTTGATAACTCTTCAGAAAAACTATTTTATTCCGTTTTCTATAGGCCTCACAGAGCCTTGTATATAGCGCTACACAGCAAGCTCACAGAGGGCATTGGACAGAGGCATGGACTGGTCACGGGCCCTGCATTATGGTGCTGACTGGGCCACTGTTGGCTCTGTGCCCAAGACGGTCACTTTACTCTGAACCCCAGTGTCCCGTCTATAATAGGAAGAGTGAGACATGTTTCATGGGTTCTTCTGACACAAGGTTTTATTAATTCCCTTTCTGTTATTTTTAGCTCCATTGCCTTCTCCTTTTCTGTTTTCTCTTCAATCAGTTCAAAATCTCATTGTTGTGCACTGACAATGTACAAAGAGCACTGTGCTGGGAGCCAAAAGGAGACGGAAAGAGTGTACCACTGACAGCTTCTTATAGAAAAGAAAAGTTCTTCCCTCTCTTTCCTGTTTTTTCTCTACACCTCCTGCATTCTCCTTCTTCCCATACTCAGGCAGCCCTCATCATTTCCACAGGTTTTTGAGGCTTCTGCTTTGGTTGGGGGAAGGCACATAGCCCAGGGCCAGTGAATGAGTTTAAGATGCCTATGGCCCTTTGCATCTGGTCACCCAGGGCTCGGAAGAGCTCAATACAGATGCTTTGAGGGCTTTTTGTTCAGTGACGGTACAAATTCTTAACAATTATTAAGAGTTCCTTCTGTAAGAATCACCAATGAATTATATGCTAATAAATAACATGGTTATTTTCTTCAGAACATAATTAAAATGTGTTTCTTCCTTGCTATCTACATTCCTCTTCATTTCCATAGCAGTAAGTATTTATAATTATAAAACACAAACAAAATTACTAGTGATTTTTTTGAACCCCAAGAGGATAACGTGGAAGGAACTGGAAAGAAAGGAGCAGAAACAATCATGATTAGGCACCTACTCTGCATCAGTAGATGACTTAAAAACATTTATATGATTTGATTAATCCTTTCAACAATCAACAATGCTATACAATTTAGACTCACTGTTTTACAGATGTGGAAACTAAGGCTCAGAGGGGTTAAATAACTTGCCCAGTGTTCCACAGCCTGTAAGGATCAGGGCTAAGATTTGAATCCAATCTCTGTGACTCTAAATTTCATGTTCTCCTTACTGTACCAGGGCTAGGAGGGGCTCAGGTAGGCGCTAGAATGATGTAAGAGTACCCAGGTAGGGAAAGGCTCAAGAGGAGGACTTAGTCTGTTCCAAGATTCAAACTTTGGCATGCTTCTCCTCCCCTGATTGCTTCCCCAGATGTAGACTATGTCTCCAAAATATGGATCCAGCCCTTTGTAGTATATTAATGAGAGGGTCTTCTACTAATGGGACATCTCTCTTTTGTCTTTCACAGCAATTTTGCAGGCAGTAATAGCTGGTGATCTTATGAAGGTAAGATATCTTCCTACCAGAACTTTTGGTGATTCTTTAAGTACTTTAAATCAACATTTCTCACCAAATTTTTGTGATCCTGTATATCATTTCTCACCCCGTGCCTGTGCTAGCTGAGGAGGAGGAGGAGGAAGGATGTTCCTTTGAGAAGGGAGCAAAGAGGGTGAGAGGAGTCTTCACAGCGTCTCCTAACAGCAAAGGGTCTGTGTAAAGGCACTGTGCTGTTGGCCTTGGCTGGTTACCACGAATGCATGTCCCCAGGAGGCAGCATGCTCAGTGCCCAGAATGCCTGCTCTCTGGAAGCTGATATTTTAGGTTTAAAGATTTCTTTTCAGATAGGTCTTGCAATGAATGCATCTGTAAGAATAACCTGGACAATACCCATCAACACATTGTCCAGGCCAGAGCCTACATCTTCCAACATTATTAGATTTGTACTTTGGGGATAACAGTTAATCAAAATAAGATACCCTGATCCACTTAGAATATTTTAATTTACACTTATGTTTTATGGTGAATTTAGTTCAGAGGGAAGGAGGTGGTCATTTTTGCCTCTAGAGTGAATGCAAATTCTGAAACAGACTGCCAGGGTTCAAGTCTTGGCTCTGCCATTCACTGTATGTGTGACTTTGTATAATTAGTTAATTCTCTCTGTGCCTCAGTTTCTTCATCTGTAAAATGGAATCGTATTGCCTCTGTTTGCTTTATTGTGAGGACTGAATGTAATATTCATGAAAAGCTCTTAAGACTGTTCTATTACATAGAAGGGACTCTAAAATGTTAGCTTTTATTAACATAGTGTCAATCTGTTTCTCTAATAGCTAAATGCAGTGGGGATGCAAATACTTGTTATAAGTATAATATGGTCTATGAGCACCCTAAAAGCTGTATTTGGCCCCATGCTATTCAGGCATCAGTACTTATGACTGCACACATACCGCTGTGTAACCCACACTGGCACTGACCCTGCTCTGTAATATCAGCAGCTGCCTAAGGGCAGAGGCTCTGCCTCACTCATGGAGTGTGGCACCACTGCACATGGAGAAGCCAAAAGCCTTAAAAGAAAGCTGAGAAGAATTGCCTTTGTATACAACTTCTTCTGAAGCACATCTATTGAATGAACTGAGAGACCTCTGCTACATTTTTAAGATTTTACTAGCAGAAAACAAATGGTGAGAAGGTTGCCAACATCTTGATAAACTGCCATCTTCAGACACATAATCTTGGAGATGGTGACTGTACCACTGCCCAGACCATGGTGGTATTAGGCATTGTTACCCACAAGAGAAAAGTGCTTTCTAAGCAGTATGCTTCTAAGTTCAATGCTGTTTCCCAGCAGTGGATTAAATCAATGCTGTCCTGTACTCCCTGCAGGGCCTCACCTTAGACTCTGTGGGAAAGAGACGCATGAGTTAGGACTTGATCCCTGCCACTGCAGAGCTTCTAAACCAGAAAATTTTGCAAAGCATTGTACATTTGAAATCTTTTCATTTTATTTTAATACATTTAGTCTAGGCAACAGATTTTCTAGACCCCTCAGCATATTGCCATACTTTTTTTTTGTACTTAATAAAGAATTATTTGAGTGGTGGGCAATTGCTATATTCAGTCAGCTGTCTTATTACATTATCTGGTATAATTACTTCCTAAATGGCTACGAAATGACTTAGCATACCTTATTTACAGAGAGGTAAAATTTTTTTTCTTTCTTATCCTTCCCAAGTATTTTTCTTCCCCTTTTCCTTCTTACTCTTTATCTTCTTTCATTTCTCTATCCCAAGTAGAAAGTATAATAAATATTAAGTGTTAAACTGTGTGTGTGAGAGAGAGAGAGAAGTGGGAGGGGGACAGGACGTGAGCACGCCGGTGAGGACAGAAGACGAAGGAGCCACCCCAGGGTGAAGGCGGTCATGTACCTGCTGTACACCGCGCTGCATAAAATGCCCACGGACTGAATGTTCACAGTGTCTATAAATAACACAGAAAGGCAGAATCAAGGCAGCTGATGGACTGGGTCTCTGCTACTTTGTTGACCCTGAATCCTTTGTGGATCTCCTCATAAAGAATGGGAGTGTCATCATATGAAAGTACAGTTAAACAGAGCAGGATTCTCTTAGGTTTTTGTGGAAAACAATCAGCTATTTCTTCCTGTTCCTTTGCTTCACGGTTTAGGCATGAAAACCCCATATATTCCTTACTTCCAGTCAACTACTCCTTTTTGATCTATTTCCTGCAAAGTCTTCCATGACTTCTTTCCGTCCCCTACTTTATGCTCTCCTAGTGCCCTGTGCTTCCCTCCTCATGTTCCTCTCCATCTTTGTGCAATTCTTTACACATCTGTCTCCCCTATGGACAGTGAGCTTTCGGAGGCCAGCAGCCAAGTCATCTTCATCTTTGTTTCCCTGGCATCTGGCACGTGGCAGTTCGATGGTTTATTTGAGCAAATGCATGAACTATGAGTTTACTCTTTGACCTCATGAGTTGTTTGATTTTTTACAGTGCTGTGTCACCTAACTTCTTTGGTGGAAGTCACATTCCTTTTGCTTATTACCTGCTGGGTTATTTGATTCTTATTTGTCCTAAAACTACCTTTTAGAGGCTCCAGATTCCTCTTGTTCTTGATATACTGCAGTTTGGAGAACAGAGATCTGTTTACACTTTCTATCATGTTCAGGATTTCACAAACTTAGACTGTGTCCTCTTCTAATCACCCAAATCTCAGGATGCAAAGTCTGGTTTTTTTTTTTTCCCAGTCCGTTCTCATATTTGAGATATTTTAGGATTCTACTACTACATTCTCTGAACCCTCTTGGTTCTCCTCCCATGGATCATCTCAAGCCTTGTTGGGTATGTGTTGGACAATTAGCAGAAGGCATGAAGGCTGGGCTGCAGAGCTGGATGAAGGAGGGAGGTAGACGTGTGTGTGCTTGTGTCTGCCATATGCGTGTGCCGTGATCTCATGCTGGAAAATGGTAAGCAGTTTCTATATTTAGTAGCTCGATTCATTACAGACTGAAAGAAAAACTAAAGGACAGGAAAGGAGCTTGTCTACCAGACCCTAAGCCATTCCTGCCTATAGGCTTAACTGTTCTTTCACTCAAGAGGATGCTGAGCCAACATAGGAAAGCTTTTACTCCCTTGGGACTGAGACCAGTGCCCAGAAAAGACCAAAAAAAAAAAAGAAAGAAGTAATTTAGCATGTTTCCATTTCCTTAGGCTGTTGAGTACCCACATACCCTCTCCGGAGTTAGCTGAGACACTGGCCGTCTATTTGAGTGATAACACAACCCAGGGATGTTACTTCATCTCTCTGACTTTTCTGTGTCCTCTGAGGCTGCAGTCATTTGTGGTTTGCTGCATTACTTTTATTTTATCACCAGTTAGCTGTTTTCCTTGTTCCGGACTCTGTCTGAGCTTCTTTTCCTGTGTCTCTTTTTCAGCTAATAGAAAGCTATAAAAATGGAGGCAGTCTCCTAATTCAGGGACCAGACCACTGTTCACTCCTTCACTACGCAGCTAAAACCGGCAATGGGGAGATTGTGAAATATATCCTTGACCACGGTGAGTAGGCACAACAAACCAAGGATCGCTTACCCACGAAACAGACCAAATTTTCTAAGTTGACTTTTATTAAGGCTGTCTTCAGAAGAGTAGAAATGCTCTCCAACTTTAGCTGCCTCTCTTTGCTTATTTGAGGCAGCCGGGATTGCAGACCCCTGACAAGACCACCTTGGTTACAGTGGGTCACCCTAACCAAGGAATTAATGGAAGTAATTTTCATACCAAGGCCTTTGCAGGATTTCCTGGGGCTGAATAATTTTAAAAGAATAAAACCAACTGTGGCCTGGCATTATGAGCTTTATTGCTCTAGGAAGTGCTTTTATGTTTTGGGAAGTTAACTGTTTGGGACCAGGTACCTAAGTAAAATAAGCCTGTTTTATTCCATTTTCTAATTTCCCACTTTTTTTTCTTTTCTGTTTGAATCTCATCCATCTTTCCAACTCAAGTCACACTTTATTCTCTTTGAAAAGACCTGGTACTCTCATGTCCTTTCTGGCAGACCATGTTCACCTCCTATATGGCTTCCTAACTGGGTTTGTCATTTGGTGTTAGACCATGTTCTTTAGCATCTATCTCTCACAGCCCTTTAGAGGCATAACACAGGAGAGGAATATGAAGTCTTGACCATGCTTTCAGCTTCTCATGTACAGGAATAAAGGGGGGGAAACACCTCCCTGGCTTGGCTGTTTTTGAGGAAGAAGGATAAGAACAGTCTCTAGCGCTGCTGGATACAGGCACTCAGAGATCCTGGAAGATTTTCTGCGAGCCCTAGCACTGTACCTGCAGCCTACCCTCTTTGTATGCAAATTTAGGCTGTATATAGTAAACTTATCAGTATACATTCATGTTCCTTTTTACTCCTCTTTCTATTCAGTTTAACAAACATGTCTTACTCCATTCATTTATTCAATCATTCAGCAAATATTTATGGAGTGCTTCACAGGAACTACCTGTTACAGATCAGCGCACACACAAATAAAATACAGGCTATGTTTTCAAGCAATTGCAGGCTAAAAAAACATAATACTATGCATCATTAACTTTAAAGCAATTGTATGTAGATGTCTTAAGTCCTATTGTAAAGCACAAATAGATAACAGAGCTACTGCTTCTCAAGCACAGGTTATATGCCAGATGCTTCTTACATTACTGAATATATCCTATCAATTAATCTTTACAAGGACCTTGTAAGGCAGGTGTTAGGCTGTCAGTCACATTAGACTCACCTTGCTTTGTCTTTAATACCTTCTCATTATAAAGAGTTTGCTTGAACCCTTGGCCTAAATTATGGTGGAAAGAATGGTTTAGGAAAAGGAAAAGGGTGTTAAAAGAGAATGATGGTCATCAGAGGATTTCTTTCCCCTTGGTGGGCTGGGTTGGATAATCCAGGCCTGTCCATCCCAGGAAGCCTAGGTAGGTAGGCTGTATTCTTGGTGCTGTGTCTGGGGTGTGCATACTCCATCTCCAACTCCCCTGACCATTCTACCACTAGCAATTAAAGCATTCTTCTTTGGGCAAGACTTTCAAAAGTAATGGTGGCATAATTTCTGCTTGCCTCCTACACACACCTGCACAGCACGTGCACACACACATACGAATCACAGGTGTTTTTCTTTCCCATAGGGACTTTTCCAAAAGCTATTGAAAGGAAGAATCAAGTGTTAGAACCCAGCCCCACAGACAGTACATAAAGGTCACAAAGCTTCCATGGTTATTTTTCCCTTAATAGGAAAGATCTCAGAATTTCCACTGCACAAAGTTCATGTAAGCTTTAGACATTTGCTGTCACTTTATTTGCCTTTAGCTCGGGTTAAAGTACTCCTGGTGTCGCCCTGATCATTCTCAATCCTTCCTTCCTTGTTTGCCCTTTGCTCAATGAGACTGAGTGCTTGCTTGCATCCCTCAGGCTGCTCAGCACCCACATACCTCTGCAGAGTTGGGTGAGACACAGGCTGTCTACTTGGGTGAGACAACTTAGGAATTCTCTCTCCTCCCCTCTCTACCTCTCCAGAAGAATAAGCATTCCCCTCTTGTTCTAGGATCCTCTCAGTGATCTGCTGCTGTCTCACCCTTGAGGCTGCAGGGAGCTGCCGTTTTGACCGAGTCTGTGTTTAAGACAAACTCTCACGTGATGGGGCTCTCAGGTGGGCAGCCTGGGACAGCTGAGCCTTTCTCTACGCCTGGTCTTTCACCTCAGGCTTTTTCAGCACATGATGGTCCTTGGGTTCCCAGGTGGGGGAGAATGGAAGCTTCCAAACATTCTGAGCCCAGGCTAGAGAAGTCTGTATCATCTCTATGGCATTCTGGCAGCTAAAATGAGTCACAGAGCCAGCCCCAACTCAAGGGGTGGGGAAATAGACCCCACTGCTTCATGGAAGGAGTTGCAAATACGTTACGGCCGTATTTAATCTACCACACTCCCTTACTGTCTTTTTCAACTAAAAATGATGGCCTGCCTTCTCCATATCCTGAACTACTCTACTGACTCACTTGGAATTCCCTAGGGCTCTGCTTTAATATCTTCCTACAGTTCTGAGTCCTAACCTAGGGTTGCAAGATTTAGCAAATAAAAGTACAGGACAATAATTTTTTTTCTTTTTTTTTTTTTCTTTTTTAGCATAAGTGTGTCCCATGCAACATAGGGGATATACTTAAGCTAAAAACGAAACCAAAAACCCTCTTCTCAGCTGGGTCTCCCGAGGGGCATAAATGAGATGATACTGCTCTAACACCATGGGTTTTCACTCCCTCCTCTAGTTCTCTTTCCACTGCACTGCCTTAAATAAGATGGCCTTTAAAAACCCCAGTAACTCAAGCTCACAGGGCTTAGAGTTTCAAACCCCAGCCGTAGATCAGTATACACACACATACTCTGCCTGGCATGAAATCCAGCTGGCACGTTACTCTCCTAGTGCTTTGACTAAAGCCTGACATTCCAATACTAAACTAGTTTCTCTTCAAGGCCTGGTGTCTTTTGCAAAAAGCAAATCGTACAGTATAGCTCTCTGTGTCAAAACTGAAGGACACAAGGAATTTGTTAGTAACTTTGGAGTAGGGGGGAGGCTTATTTTTCTAACTTTTTTGGTTAGCTTTGTAAATTAGTTGGTTTCGTATTTATACTAATGAGAAAACACTTGAGATTCTTGTAATCACCTCAATTTCACTCACAGGCAAACAGTTTTCGGTGATCACTGGAGGCATGTCTGCCTCACCAGAATCTCTAATTGGTCAGTAGATACACGAGGGAAAGACTGAAGCAAAATCCATCTCTTCTGTTTGAAAATAAAATCCTACTATTATCTACAGTCCAAGAATCCCTGCATATTTGATGGATGGCAGTTTTTAACCTTTTAACACTATAGTCAAATAATGGAAACTAAATGGCAGTTGATTTTTATTAAAATTAGTATTTATCAACATGATAGGCATGGTCAATTTCATTCTTAACACTGATCTCATTATTTCTACTTATTCAGGAACATGGATGTAAAATCTTTTGACATCATCAGCCTAATTCTTCATGTTCCTTAAGAGCTAACTGAGCACTTTAGCTCATCCATTTCTGTTGTTACCGTCATCTGTTGTAATATCTTTAGTTGCTGATACAATTAACCTGTGCACTTGGAATTGGAAACTAATTCCATGGAATTTGCAGAAGCATTCGTATCTTTTAAATTATAGAAACCCCTTTAAATTATAGTGTTCTTGTAGTCAGGGGCACATACGTGGAAAACATGATCCTTTGTCTACTCTATAATCATCTTTTAATGTGATCTCTGCTCAGCAAAATAGTCTCTCCTAATTTAATAACGATGATGACTCTGAAATTCCCCTGATCTAACAAGGAAACTAGCCTTTTCCCAGACACCTCCATGAGACTGGGATTCAGGGATGTATACCAGACTATGGCACTGTATTTATAAATTAGCATCAGATTTGCAGTAGGTAGGTCTGATCAGTTTAAATTCATGTAAATAAAAAAATTAATGAATACAAATTTTTCACTGTGCCAAAGATTAAGAGATACCTCTCTCAATCTCAATTGCTACAAACCTCTTGAAGTTTTGTTTTCTAATTTAAAAAATTTTTATATTCAAGTCTTTCTTGTGGCTTCATACTATGTAAGTCCAAAAAATTGTGCAAAAACCCACCTGTACAGATGCCTTTAATGACAAGGGGTCTGAAAAATCAGTGGGCCCCTTTCAAGACTGAGAAGACTCCTTTGGTTACTACATCCTTACTTCAGGGAGCCCCTCTCCCCTCTCTGCTTTGTCCTCTTCATCACTGGCTAGTGACGGTGAGCAGTGGGGTCCACAATCAGGAGGACGCCTGCCCCCTGAACAGGAGTCGTGAGAGATTAGTCATTCTCCCAGACACCACATTCAGCAATGCACTTTGCTTCTCAGGGCTCTTTGAAACCCAGGCTATGGGGCATGGGACAGGACTTGTGGTACTGGTACATTCTGAAAAGCCACAGGAGGCTTGAATTTTTCTCTCCCTGCATCTTCTTTGGGATGTCTTCCCTCAAATACACAACATGCTGCTTTCCTTTATGAAACAGTGGAATCTGGGCACTGGGAGGGTTGAAAAGAGAACGGAGGAGGGAGAGAGCTTAAGAATTCCACAGGACAGGGTGGAGAGAGAAGGATGAGGAGGGATTCCAGCTGAGATCTCCCCCCACCCCTCAGCAGTCCCTGCTTTTCAACTCCTTTCAACCATATTTTTACCCACTCCCTCCTCCCTCATCTTACCCCTCCAGAGACTTTTGTGGGGTTTCAGTCTTTTACCACCCGACACATTTTGCTCTTTTGTTTTTATTCTCCCAGTTCCCACCCCTCCGCCCCCTACCGAGTTTCCTGATAGAAATCTCACTCATGCATTTCCTTTCTGATTTCAATGGCTTATTTTTGTCTTCCCTCTTTTTCTGCCTTCAGTCTTTTCTTTTCTTTTCCACCCCCCTTTTTCTGCCTCTGGTCCCTGAGGGAAACGACCACCATCCCGCTGGGACAGGATGACGGTGCTGTTAGAGTTCCCAGTGCCAGCTCTCCCCACATCTGTGCAGCTTTTGTCCTGGGGCAGAGGAGGATTTGGAATGGTCTGTTGGCAGCGTCAGGGAGACTAATGGGAAATGAGGTCCAGAGAGAGAGAGAGAGGCCATGGGGAGGTGGAAGGAACAGCAAAGGGGATTTGGATGCCTCTGTGTGGGAAGCAAATTAAAGGATGCATGTGACAAAAGACATATCATATCTAATACTAGTGAAATACTGATGATACAATTGAATCAGCAAGAACTGGGGTATCCAGTGGAAGAGTCTATGGGATGAGCAAGTACTGGGTAGCAAACTTGAAATTTAGAAGGACTGACTACATTCACTTTTTCATGTTGGGAGATCTGTGGAATTTTGTTTTTGAATTCCCTGGCCTTCACCCAGATACTGATGTATATATCCCCTCAATGTATTTTTCTTCCCTTTATTTTTCAGATCATTTCTCATACAGCATAGCTCTTTTGAATCCATATTCCATTTATGTTTCTTTCTCTGAGAAAAAATATGATATTGGCCAGGATCCAAGCTGATTTTTAAAAAGTTACTCATTCATTCATTAAAAAATTATCTCATGCACTTTTAAGGAAAAGAGTTATAGTAATAATCACTGCTAATCTTTATGGTGCTAAATGCTTTATGGATACTCCAACATTTCATTCTTACAGCAGCCCTACACGGTAAGTTCCCTTATCTCTATTTGACAGGTGGCAAGAACTAAAGCATAATGAAGTTAGGTGACTTGCCAAAGCTCATACGTAATATGAGATACAGTCTCTGCCCTCCATATTCCTAAAGCCCAGCAAAGGAAATGAAGCATGGATAAACAACCACAATGCAGGGTAGTCTGAAGTGAGTATTATACGCAGGGTTCTGGTGACAACTGGTACAGAGCGGAAGAAGGGCAATGATCATCTTCTGAAAATTTCATGGAGAAATTTGTACCCATATCCCCTAAATAAAGATTCAACAGCTGTTTTCTGGTGCAGGTCAGCTCTGGGATGGAGTGTGGGTATTTTAGTAAACCCTGGGAGGGACACAGAACCAAGATTTATTTTATATTCAGGGAATAATTGTGAGTGTTCCACTGACAATTTCATGGCATTCCTGCAAATTCCTTAGGGGAGATGCATAGTATCCACAATATGTACACAGGAAATACAAACTAAGTAGGCCCCAAGTCCAAATGTTCCCCCATTTATATATATTGAAGGAATTCCATCATCTTTTTCTTTCTGTTGTTCTTTACCTTATGAGTAAGACTCAAAAGTAACTTTCCAAAAAAATCACAATTGCCTTTTTTTTTTTACATACCTTTTTCCTTTCAAGAGAAAACTTCTGTGGTCTTTGTTGATTTTGTTCCTCTGGCCACCCTCCTCCCCCTGCCCCCAGATCTTCCACCAATGCTACTAACCCACACGGGGCACTATTAAACAGCACGATATACTGTTAAACGTAGCTCTCAGTAGGTCACTGAAGATAAGGGAGGAAGCTACAGCCGTGCTCTGCTGCACCTGGCACTCACTCCTCTTGTTTCCTCTTCTGCAACCTCTTCTTGCTGTCAGCTTAAAAAGCCCAGCATTTCAGAGCCATTCCTGAAATCTTTAACTGGAGTTTCTTTGGATATTAATTAAGAGCAAAAGTGTCTTGTTTTAGTATCAGCACCTCCTTTCTCTCACCTCTGTCAGCTGCAGAGGATTAGAGAGAAGGGGGAGATGATAAACAGCTACCGGCCTGCCTGACTTACAAGCGAGTCAGCTCTACAGTCATCCAGGGTTGACTCTGCTTGTAGTGATTCTTGTCAGAGATCTGAGGAACAAGGCTCCTTCTCTTCCTTGTCCCCCTTTCAGAGTGTCATGCCCTCGCCGTTTCAGCACAGGTTAGACCGCTTCAGTGTCCTCACACTACGTGGGGGCGTGGACCCCGGAGTCTGTGGACCCACCGTGGGTGCAGCTCTGAGCGCACCAGGTGACAGTGCCAGGGAAGGAGGAAATAAGACAAGGCTTCTGTTGCCTAAACGTGTGTGCAATTAGCAGTAATGCTGGGAAGAGCCTGCTGCTGAGGCTGGGCTGCTCGTGTTCATGGAGTTCCTTTCAAAATGAACGGCCTGCAAGGTCTGCTGAAGGTGGCGGGGATTCTTTAAGAGGACCACCGTGCACTGTGAGCCTTCCTGCTCCGGGCCTTGTGGAGGATGTCTCACCAGCAACTGACTAGGGCTGGAACACTTGGTTCTAGGACAGAGGCTGTGAGTCGACACTCACTTCAAATCTAAGCAGGAGCCAAGGGGCCCTTTTATATCTCCTTCCCCAATAGGTTAGGACACATAATAATACCTAAACTTTCGGCATTGCATATACTGCCCCAGCTACTGTCTTAAGCACGTTATTTGTATTAACTTGTGAAACCTCGTAACAAACCTGTGAGATAATTGTTATTAATCCTGATTTATATATGTGACAGTCAAGGGACTGAGAAAAAGAACCTGTTCAAGATCCAGCAGGCAGCGGACAGAGCTGGGATTTTGAGCCAAGGAGGTTCAGCTCCAGAACTCCCACTCTTAATCACTGCACTGGATGCTCTGCACCTTCTTTAGGGGTACAGGGGGATTATCATTCATGTTTCCTTGGAATCACAGGACTGAGGAACAAAAAATGAATTACCTAAATCTTCCTTGAATCTGTAAAATAGGGAATGTGCTAGCGGAATATCAAAAATAATAAGTGTTCTTACACTCAAAAGACTTAGAATGATCTAAGTGGACAAGGCATACACTTGAAAAGCAAATACATAGTCCAAGTGTAGACCCAAGTAAATGTTACAGGAGTTCAGAGACAGGATGAGTCCTTCTGTCAAAGGTGGCCTTTTCAGAGGAACTTGTCACACACTCGGCTTTAAAGATTGTATAAGATTGAGGTGTGTGGTATAAAATCCTGCTTTGGGTAGGGAGAGTTAGCAGAGCAAGCTCTCAGAGCTGGGAAAGCCTGAGAAATATGTGAGTAAGTATGCAGCTACCAGTTTAGCTTATGCAAAAACAAACAAACAAAGGAATCTTGAGAACAAATTGAGGAAGGGTAGTTCCAAGTGAAAGACCGTGAACCTCAATATTTAAATACTTGGGAAGGCACAGGACATACGATGAACTTGAAACCTGGAAATCTAAATGTTGTAAGATCTATTCTTAATTAGTAACAGTCTTCTGTGCTAATTATGTTCCTGACAGAGACCTATTATTAGGAAGCTTCTTTGTCAAATAGGACAAGTAGCAGCAACAAATAGGACAGACATTGCAAGAGAAGATTCACTCAACCTTGATGGCTTGTATGTGGGAATGAGAAGGCAGAGCTGACAATTTAGCTCCCAGATGACCAGGAGGACTGTGAACATCCCAGTCATCTTCTTCCTGACCAATGGCTTTCGTAGCTCGAAAGTCCTAACCTCTTCTTCCTGTTCTAAATTAGGTAGTAAGTAACTACACAAGCAGATTTTCCATGATAATGATATCCACTAATATGGAGCGCAAATCACCAGGACCATACTTCTAAAAATTACAGTGCTCAGTACTTACAGCCATGTTTGGCACCTCCAAGCACTTTTATTCATTAATTCAGCCAAACATTTAAGCCTCTGCCTGGCACCAGGCTCCATGCCAGGCACTAAGGAAGGACACAGTGATGGACAAGGCACTGGCCACAGCTTCAGGGGTTTCCAAAGTCTAGTTGTGGAGAGGGGCAAGTCTTGGCTAGACCAGTATCATGAGCAGTAAGGTAATCATATATCCCTACTTGTCAGGAATAATCTCAATTTAGGCAATTAATTAATTGCCCTCCCAATTATAGGAAGTAGAGTTTGTACATGAAGTGAAGGAACACACAGGCAGGGCATTTAATGCAATATTAGAAGTGGTAGAGGGCTTCATGGAGAAAAGGTGTGTCAGCTGATACCCGCAGGTAAGGAACTGCAGGGAGGGCTGGTAGGAAAGCAGTGGTGCAGAAGGTGGAAAGGTGTACATTCCAAGCAGTATCTGCAGGTTGAATGAATTAGTGAACAAGTGAGAAATTATGAATGTGTAAAGACCCAGAACATTGCAGTTCCTAATGAAGCATCTATAATCATTTGATGTTTATGCATAACATTTCTTCTAGATCTTGGAAGGCAAATTTTATGAAAAATAGAATTTTACCCTATTTCTAAAATAAAGAGATTGGACCGAATGATATAGTGACAGTGTAACCTGCTGTGCTATGTCAGAGAAAGGGCACTTAATATGGTCTCTTGCAGTTTAACGTTATACTGCATAGACTCCATCCAGACAACCTGTCCCTGGAGAACGAGAAACAGTCCTTAAAGCCTGATTGTCCTTTTCCTCCCTAAGTAGCCACTTAATTGTCATTTATTCTGTTCCAATTAATTTTATTTCTTCAACTTGTCTGACAGCTTCTTGATGGCAGAGGTCATATCATTCTTTTGTATTTCCTAATCTGTACGTCTCTGCAGGTGGTAACTGGGAGACTGACGGGGAGGGGGAAGACGGATCCTTTCTTTTTTGGAGGGGAGGTGGTCTTAATATCCCTATCACCAAATACTCTTTCTTATTCAGCTTCCCAAGGCATTTTACTTTTGCCACTATAATTTTTTGTTAATGGTTAGTTTTTGAACTTATTTTTGATGGGCATCTTGCTTTCCTCTTCTTTAGGACCTTCCGAGTTACTGGATATGGCGGACAGTGAAACGTGAGTGTTGCCTTTCATTACGTGGACTAGATTATCTCCTTCAGAACCTATCTAGAAGAATGCAGCCTCTTTGGCATACAATAGATAATTTTAATGTCAGTGATAAAAATACCTACTTTCAAATGTATTTATAACTGTGCAGGGCTAATCTTCGAAGTTAAAAATTACACGGTAAAAATAGATGGCCTATGTCATAATGATTGCACACACAGCCATTGCCAGTCATCATTCAGAGCCTTCTATAAGCAAGGTACTGCTGCACTGATACATCTTGAACTACAGAGAAGTCTAAATAAATGCACTTACTTCTTAATTACCCATCACATTTCTCTTTCTCAAGTGAGATTTTTAAGAAAGTTAAGCCCTAGTGTCCTAAGGCATCTGTTTTGTGTAGTGAAACAGTTTCTCTTTGCTGAATCTAGAATGGGACAAGTTATTTGCAACCAATGGAGAACCCAAGAACATAGTTAAGTCCATCATTTCCATGTTCTGTGCTTCAGAAGAGGAGCCCTGGCTGAGAAAGCCTTCAGCTCTGTGGACGGTCCTCAAACTGATAACATTTGTTTTCAACTTTCTCATTCCCAGGACAACAAAATAGCTATTATTCCCCAAACAGGAAAAAGAAAGGCTAAACATCTACCCCTGGATGTCATGTGGAGCCTCTAGAGAACTTCAGTGAAATTCGAAAAGGGATAAAGAATGAGTGGAGTGGAGTGGGATGGGGTAGGGAGTGGCTAAGTACATCAGGAGGAGGAAAAGCAGAAATGAACAGAATGGAGGACAAGTAGGAGAGGTTTAGCCATGAGTTACTGACATAAAAGAAACTGTCCAACATACCACATCCCATTGACAAGGTTGTCACTCACCCCAGTTTGCCTAAGGATAGCGTGTGATTTTCCATAAAACACTTTGGCATTAAATGTCTCTTCAAATTTGGATTCAGAACAGGAATATCCTCCTCCCTATACTGCTTGTGGTGGGGGAAGGGGGGAATAGCCACTTTCCCTTGGCCACTTCCCATACTGAGTGGCTGGCCTCAGGCCTGCTGCCACCTGAGGGCAGCCTTGGTTCCTGAACTCTCCCAAAGTCTTACTGTCCCTCCTAGATATCCTCTGTGGCTGCCCCTCACAAGGGATCAGCAGGCAGGGTCAGGTGGGTGTTGCCTGGTTCTTTGAACTTGAGTTCCCAGGAGATCCTCCCAGTCCAGAGGGTCTGTCACCAAGCACTGTGATATGGTCCTCCATCACTGTTCCTTTGTGTACTTTATCTAGTGTCCCTCGTGCTCTGCCCAAATGTATACACAGAGAGAGTGACTTCACAGTGTTCAGACACATCAGTCTATTTCACAGTGCCATTGAGTATCACTTAAATCAGACAGTAGTAGTTTAAAACAAAATCACTGTTTAAAAAAGAGGCTGGAATCAGATACTATGGTTAGTTGATGACTAACTCAAGGTACTTTTAGGACCCCCTCACGCACCTCCCCTGGCTGTGCCCTGCAGCCCTGGTCTCACCTAAAGACAGGGAAACTGGCCAAGGGGCACAGAATGCCAGCAGCAGGGGCAGGATGTTATCCTCACTCCCCTCCCTGCTGCCCTTACCCCACCCCCACTCCTGCCTCCAACCCTTTTATGGGAGGTTTCCCATTTCATCTTTGATTTAGGGGTGAGACCGCACTGCACAAGGCCGCCTGCCAGCGGAACCGGGCTGTGTGCCAGCTTCTGGTAGACGCAGGAGCATCTCTGAGAAAGACGGACTCCAAGGTAACTTCATGAGTGAGTGCAAACATCCTCCCACTGAGCAAGATCTCTGGCACCACTGCCTTCACTTGTGCCCATAGCAAAGGCATCCTTTCTATACTTATGGAAGTGCCTGGGGCTTTGGAAAAAGGAGGAAAAAATAAAGTGTTTCATTTAGAGAAACTGCAGTTTAAATGTATAAGCACAAAGGGAGGGTGTGTGCTTGCCTATGGGACTCAATAAACTTCTGAATGCACTGACCTTCAGACTTTGGGGTTCTTCTGTTGAATGCCAGCAGCCATGCTGTGGAGAGGTGAGGTTCAAAGTGCTGGGAGAGGGGTCAGGACCATGTTCAAAATACACCAGCCTGGCTACTGAGATGCCTCTTTGGGATTTCTCCTTCAGCTACTTAATCCAGAATAGCTTAAAATCCATGATTTATGTGGCTCCATAAATGGGTGCCTAAGTGATTAACAATCACTCCCAGGATGGGAGATCAGGCTGAACCATGAGTTGTTCCAGTTTACAGAGAGGCCCCATGGAAAGTGTTGAAAGCTGGAATGAAGGAGGAGTTGAAGCTTAGAACTGTTGACCAGGGACTATAGCCTGTGAGAGAGAGAGAGGGCCAGAGAGAGAAGAGTTAATACGGAAGATCAACCCCATGGAGGAGTTGTCTCTGATGATCTGAGGTCATGTCATGTTCACAATCAGCTCTGAGAATTTTAAAGCACCTTGAGTAGACTCAGACAGGAAAGGACAAACCACTTAACTCTAGAGGGTTACAAAGAATTTTAATATATAGATGAACACTTCATTAAGTGGGTGCTAAGTAACCTGCTTTGGGTCAATGAATGTAGGCAAGAAACAGACAAATGACTGAGAAGCCTAATAATGACTGAAGCCCGATTAGACCTGTTTAAGGCATGAGCACCTACTTATGTGTGGTTTGCACCCTGAGGTTTCCTCCAACTGCGGTGCACATTGTGACAGAACCTTCTGGTGTGGACCTGTCTTTCCTTTCTGAGCCAGTTTCATTGAGTGAGTCTCCACTTCCCTTTCGACCCACCAGATACTTGCTCTCTGAGGTCCCTGGCTGCCTTCACTTTGATAGCTCTAGGCTACCAAAAACATTAAGCTGGATCCTGGTTTCTAGCTGGTCTGTTACCTGTCTGGCTAGCTAATTGGGTATAGGATTCCAAATGGCAGATAATTGTTCAATGTGATATTCTTCTTAGATGATATTTGTACTTAAGTGCTTTGATGTGTAATAACATGATTAAGAAACATAACCCATGGAGGCAGATCAGCTGAGGCCACGATTTCATGTGAACTTGGCCTTCCTTGCTGAAGCCAGTCAAACACAGCAGGGCCACTGCCTGTTCGCCACAAAGAGACTGGTCTCAACTCAGGTGATAAAAGAGAAGGGAGGAGCAATGTGAAATAGAGGACAAATAAAAGACTGGGCAGGAGACCGGCCCCCGAGCAGATGGCTGTTTTTATCTTTCTGAGTTTCTGAATCAGATAAATGGGCTCAACGTTCCTTGAAATTCCTTTCTATTTTTTGTAATGTATGTGTGTGCTTTTTCCAAAAGTCAAACAATTTTATTATTTTTAGGACTATAAATGTAGTGCATTCTCACACAGAAAACTCTAGCAGTGCAAAAAATTAAAAAGTAAAAATTGCTAGAAATCCCACAATCTGGACTTACATACCATTAAAACGTTAATGATCTCTCTTCACACATGAGTATGTCTATTTTTCTCTCTCAGTTTCTTCAAGTAGGTAAAGTCATACTGTACATGGTACTGTATAACTTTTCACCCAACATTTTGTTTTAGAGATCTTACCATATGAAGTGCAAGAGCTATGCTTCAACCTTTTCAGGGATCCTTTAATTTTTCCATTCTGTAATTTTTGGCTAGGTGAAAGCCGAATGTGATAATTATGATTGGATCTTCTCCTGTAATTTTTTGGAGAGAAGCAATACTTTGAGAATTTCTTTCGATAGAGAATGGTGCCCTAAAATTCAACTCAAAGGCCCATCCCAGTCCATCTCTGATATGTGGAAACTGGGAATCACAACCTCATTAACATTAAAGACAACATAGCCTACAAATACTGTAAAGTTGAATAAAATTATTATAGGCATTTGAAGCTAGTGGTTAAATATTATATCCCAACTAAATAAGTACAATTTAAGAAAGAATCCAGAGCCATTGTTACTTCCCTTGTATCTTCTACTCCACAGACCCTTGTAGGCTACTAGGATCAGACTTAATTGAGGTTGACACCACCCATTCTAACAGATGAGATAGAGGCTGAGAAGTGTAAGGTAATTTTTGTAATACTTGTGTGCATTTTTATACATGGAGCTATTTCTTTGGTACAATGATCATGCCTCTACCCTTTCCTTGGAACTTAATATCATTTTAAAATAGGTGTCACTGAACAAAAATCAGAAGCTTCAAGGAGTGTTAAGTAATATTTGTAAACATTCAAAAGAAAGGAGATGCTTCCTCCTGCTGCTGACTTCTATTCATTGGCCTCATTTCAAAAATAACATGTGTAAAAGAAAAAATTTAAAAATAAATAAATAAAAAATATATATCATGTGTATGTGTAAAAAGATACATAATAGCATTTTAATAGACTGCAGGAAATTACACAATCATTTAAAATGATAACATTTAATGACAAAGTTTGATATATTATTAAGTGGAAAAGCACATTATATAACAGGATATAAACAAAGTATGGTTTTATTTTAATAAAAATATGTATAGAGCTATAGAAAAAAGATTAAATAGTTACTCTATGAAAGGTTAACAGCTGTTATCTTAGTGTAGTGGAATTATTGGTATTTTTATTTTCTTCCTTATGCTTCTCTACTTCCCCATGATTTCTGTAATCAATATCCATCACTTTTATAGTCAGAATTAACTCACTTTTTGGAGATGAGATAGTTTTAAATTGGAGAGAACTTAACTGAAGATTTTGAAACCAACAAAGAAACCCCTTTAGATTGTTTCTGACCATTTCTTCCTTTTAGTTTCTGCTTGTTACTTCCCAGAGTTTAGTAAAACAGAAAGAATTCCAAACTGGACACTGGAATGCTTGCTTCCCTACTTTTCTGTTCAGTGATTTCTATCCCCATTCTACAAAGGATGTGAGTTCCCAAACTCTATGTGCTGCATGGTTTCCTGCTATGTATCTGTGGTTACTCCCTGAACCTCCCTTTCCTTAAATGGAAGCCCCACCTCTGAAAAGTGATCTCTTCCTCTTGAACTTGTGTATCTCACATGTTTGATGTGATGCTTACATCAAATAATAGATTTGAAAGTGTCTTGTGAACTCTGAAACAGCAAACATGGAAGGATCTTTTTTAGTGAGTAATCTTTGAGTAGCTGTTTCTTTCTTTCTTTCTTTCTTTTTTTTTTAATCTCATCCCAAGTGTTTATGTCTCTTTCCTTTTCACTGTTACCTACAGGGTAAGACACCTCAAGACAGAGCACAGCAGGCCGGGGACCCAGATTTGGCTGCTTACTTAGAAAGCCGCCAGAACTATAAGATCATTGGCCATGAGGATCTGGAAACTGCTGTTTGACCCTGGTAGACAGAAAGAGAACCTCAATGAACGAATCACCTGTGCCCTCCTGACGATCGGGCAGCTCCCCTGGAAGAAGCTGATGGAATCCATAAATCTGTCTCTGTCTTTCAAGAATCTGAGACCATGCCACCAGATTTTAAGGGCTACCAAGATGTACAACAGAACATGATAGCCCACTGAGGACGAGGCAGGATACCTGGAGATTTGTGGAATACGAGTTCCACAAAATTTGATCCTTATTGCTTCCAGCAAGTAGCATGATTTCTGTGTTCACCTATATAATTTATTTTAAAGATTCAAGGATGTTCGTATAAATGGCACTGCTCCCTCCTCCCCTATGCATTCATCTTTCCCCTGTACTGCACAATTCTACTGTAACTACCCATCAATTTAAAAAATGATATGATCTGTTCTTTTTACATTCAGTCTTTGAAGACCATAAGACTCTGAAGGTCTTTTAAAATCCTCTGGATATCCTGCAGAACTAGAACTGTAACACCGCTTCCATTTCCAAGACTAAATATACTAAGACTACTTAGTGACTTTCTTCTGCATGTCTCCTCTCCCTCCCTAATCCCTTTTCGTTATACAGGAGCTGGGGAGTGCCACATGGATACTGTCAACTTGTGTGCTATATCTCTGAGGTATGGCGAGGTGGCATGGGAGTTGTCTGTGCTCAGAGGTACCTCAGAGAGGTAACCCAGGGGTCAGCCCAGGTTGCGGGGCTGCTGCCGATAGCCATGGAGGACTGGTTCAGCTTGGGCTGTTTGTCCAGCTCCGTACTGCCTATGTGTAGCCATCTTTGCCTTTTGCTGCAATAGAGATGAGCAATGGATTAAACAAAGGCCTATAGCTAGTTTGCAGAACCACTCAATTTAAGTGCTGTTGAAACTGCAGAGCAGAAAACCCTGTGTGGGAACTGTGGTTACAGGAAATGGAGCACTATGACAGCGTTTACTTTTAGACTTTTCTGAGTGATAACAGAAAGCAGGCTAATCGACTTGAAATAAAATAGCAAAAGCAAAAGTAGCAACATATGTCAAAATAACTCACTTAAGCAAGAAAACAGTCTCTGGAAAGTTGCACAGAGGCTAATAGACTCTTGGGTACAGTGGTGAGAGGGGGCCCATTTTAGGTTTTCCTTCTAAGTTTTTGGCTTTCATTATCCCACATAAGCCTTGTCCCAGGACAAAGCCTTGTTTCATGAGTTCCACTGCCAGATTCCTGAGATGCCTGCATCTTTGGGATGGATGCCTCACCTACTACTTGTCAGGTTCCAAGGTCATATCTGATAGCACTATAGCCCCATTATTCATGTACAGTGTGGTCTAGTAACATTCTTTTCTCTATTTCCCCTATCAGAATGTTCTTAGTGCAAACTTCTATGGGAGTCTAGCCAGAAACATCTCTCTGGCAGTGGAATTAACAGGTTCTAATCCTGCCACAGATCAGCTGATACTAATAGGTACCTCTGTTAGGGACTCTGTGATAACTAAAGTACCAGCAGAAAGAGTCTTCTTTCACTGAAAATACCTACTTGACTTGGTTATAAGGAAGAAATGAAAGTGGGTGACCTTTTTGCTTCAGACTAAACCTATGTCTTCTGAGCTTTCTTCCATTTTGCTCTCAGACACAAAGTGTTTCCCTAGTGTTTCTGCATGTGGACATAAGTGATTGTTTCTCTACATTTAATTTAAAGGTCCAGTGGTGATGCCTTGCTTATCGGATTCACTTTTGGTCGCATATCACTTTGAAAGTACAGATATGATACACTGTATTTAAGATGGAATAGCCTCTCAGCAGATGGGGACTAGTTTGTCCTTAGTTGTTTCAAAATTATATTGTTGGCATTATATCCAGCTATGGGAGAATGGATTGGTTGTGAGAAATCTATTTCCATACATCAGTCTTACAAATGGAACTATCTTTCGGGTCTTCTGTTGAGGGTAAAGGGGACTGCAGTAGATTATTTCAAGAAGCTGGAAAAAAAAATTCCAGGAGAATTTAATCACTGGGCTTCTGTTGGGGGGTTTTCAGTTGGTGGGACTTGTCAAGGAGATGTGATGACAGAAATATAATCCTTAAAACAGACTGGAATCTGGCTTCAAATGGTGCCTTCCATTCCACAGACTGAGCCAAACATATGGCCACACAGCCAGTTACCAGCTGCCACTGCTGGGATGAAGGACTCTGCTTTCACCAACTCATATTTCTCTGTGATGCTTCGAAGCAGCCCAGAGAAAATGTAGGGTACAGGTGGCTATGGGCCAATCCAAATAGCGCTAACAAGTCACATAAAAATCCTCGGTATGGAAATAGATGAGGTAATGACTACTGTAGTGGTCCTGGTGCATTTGGAAATGTTCCAAACCAAAAAAAGAAAGGCATTAGAGTCCTACATTACTGGTGGGAAATGATATACGACCAAAGCAAGTATCTCTCTGAAAAAACAAATACCCTGAGAACTTGGGTTTTGCACCTCCCCTAAAAAAAAATATCAAAATGAGCAGAAAAGTGACTCATTTAATGACTTCAACATTAAATCTACCTCCTGTAGCATTTTTTTTTTTAATTGGCCACTGCATGTGACAGTCCTGGGCTTCAGAAAGAGCAAACGGCAGGTGCCCCAGGCGTTCCCAACTGTAGTATCCCCTCTGATGGGCCATCAGGAAGTATATAAGCAAACAGTCGCGGCCCTGGTCTGAAAATCCACGTAACTTTAATTTAAAAGGCATAAAACTATGTACCTACAGAAACACAATTTTTTATAAAACCTAATGAGATGGCACTACAAAGAGTAGCTGGCTTAGCTGACATTCCCCTGTGTCTGGCTCAGGAGAACCCTTTCTGTTGTGGCACTGTCTGCTCTGGGATTCCATTTTTAGATTAGGCTGATAGAGGGATGAGAAATGGAGAGTTTAAAAGATAACATTATATAACCTTAACGGTAATCATTCTTGAAGCCTTATATTCCAGTATTGCACGTTTAATGAAATAGACCCCAGTTAAGCTGTGCTATAGCACATTCAAGGGCTTGGTAAAGAACAGAAGCCAAGAAGGAAATAAACACCAAAGCCAGGAATTTCACTTTGAGAGTTTTGGTTACCTCTGTAGAGGTTATAACCTAAAACTAATGCAATTTCTGAAATGGAGAATTTAGCTGGCAAGTTCACAGCCATGAAATTAGTGACGGCTGATGGAATGCCTCACGTGCCCAGTTGCTGCCCATCCTTTCATACTAGATGGCCTTAGTGCATAGGCAGATCTGTTTGCACTGAGATACTCAACAAGTAAGTAGCTTTAATTCAGACCTAGTAAGTTTCTTTGCCTAAAGGATTTCTGGAATTCATTTACTAGACTTCTCATAATATCCATGTCTTAGAAAATGTAGAGCAGCAGTTCTATTTTTTTACATGTCAATTTTATTTTAAATGTTTAGATTTTTTAAATTATAAAAGTGGAACATGCTTTTTATAAAAAGTTCTACCATCACATATGAGTATCACATGCAAAAGTCAGGGTGTTCCTCTGTGCTTGTGTAGTGTCCTCTTTCTGCTTCCCAGAGATAAACAGCGTGAACACTGATAAACATTGTTGCTTGTATGTTATCTCAGAAATACTCTGTGCATATACAAGCCCCAACAAACATATAGAAATGTATTTATTAGTATACATATATGTGTATATATCCTATACACACATATATTGCATTGATTTTAAAAAGAAAACATTTTAGAAGCATGCTAGTCATCTGTACTGTGTAGTTAACACCAACAAGCAAAGATAAGGTAACAAAATTTTCATTTATTCTTTGTTACTTTTAGTATCACTAAGCTTAGTTCTGTTACTGCAGCACTTCAATTGCACACGGCATTTGCTATTGCCTGTGTCATAAAATCCATGACCAAGAGGTCTTATAATTGTTTTTGTTACCTTCCACAAAGCATGAAACCTTTCTGAGCCCAGACACTTGTTTATGCCATTTCTGGATCTTAAGTGGAGAGTTCCTTCCTCTGTGATGCTTACACTGCTTTCCAAGGCTTGAGTTTACAGGACTGACACTCAGTAGGCTGCCTACTGATATTTAGTTAGGGCAAGCTACTATGGGAAAGGTGTAGTAACTTGGATATGGGTGGGGTCTGAGTAGCTTGGCTTCCTTCCAGTAGGAGTAGCTAATGAAATCACTGAGCACAGCATGGTATTTTATTCAGTTATGCTCTTTAAAAATAAAATAATCATTGTTAAACTGGTTCATCATAACCATCAAATAAAACTACTAATTGCTCTACTTAAATGGATTATTTTCACTTCAGCGGAAAAAAAGTAGAACATCCATCAAATTAGAGTTTTGTACTTAATCTTGAACATTTATTTAGTATAAAATAGCTCTTGCCCAGGTCTTAGTAGAACCACCTCTGAATATCTCAACTTTCTTATTCTCTAAATTCCATATTCAACTGATTATTTTAAGTCCCACAGTTTCTTCCTCTGTCAAGCCTCTTAGATTGACTTTGGCTCTAGCCTTTTTCTGTGTCCTAAGTCATCATTCATCTCTAGTCGCTCCAATTTTCCGGCCATGGCAATAGTCCCACTTTTGGACTTTCTGCCACTACTTTCCATAATTTTGTCATACAGATACCCAAATTTCCCCAGATATTATGCTCAAAATGGGTCAAAAATGAAACTACTCTCTGGGACAAGTATCCATTTTGCCTGAATGACAAATACATTTCCATTGACCTTGATCATCCTGTATGATCACAACAGGCCTAACTCTGAGAAATAATCTCCCAGACAGGTTTAGCAAATTTCTGTCCTAGTTGCATCATGAGAGTACTTAGTCATGGCTGCTTCTTCCACATCCAATGATGTAAACAGTGTGCCCCCATGAAGTCACCTGGGTGACTGTATTATATGCATGTTAAACCTCTACTGGCCATCTGTGGACTTTAGGCTGTCTCCCCACAATTTAATGAGAAACCTAAAAATAGGAACTAAGCAAGAGTAATGCCCATGACAACCTGCTCTTCCAGAACAGTAAGAGTTACTGAACTGGTGGTTTCCCCACCCCACTCCCCAAAAAAAACTGAAAAAAAAGTTATTCTTTAGGCTATTGAAGCATTACATTTTAGAGATTTGAACACTGTATGGTATTCTCATGGTAGACAGATTCCAGACTCTGTCTATACATGTATTCAGTCATTCTACTTGCAATCATCTGTTCACGAATCAATCATACAGTCCTGTATTTAATTATTTATTTTAAAATATTTTATCATTTACTCTGATGCAGGCACCATACCAATACAAAAATGAATGAAAGAGACAAAACTCTTGACCTCATGGAGCTGGTAGTCTGGGAGAAAATACAGATTGCAGTCTGACAAGTTCTGTGCAAGAGAACCCCATGGTACTGGGTGCACACACGCTGCGGGTTCAGGGTAGCCTTTGTTGTGCCATCATTCTTTAGCCAGCAATGTTTTAGTTTTATGAAATATAAGAAATGACACTTTGCATTTCCTTTTCCTTGGAGTCTTAAAAAAGACCACTCTTAAAAATGGATTTGAAACCGATACTTTAAGATGAGACTCAGAAACACTACCATGAGAGCCAAAACATTTATCCTATTTCTCAAGGACAGAACTAGAAACAAGACACAAAACTTACAATGAATTTTGACTGAATATAAAGATGAAATATAAATATTGTGAAATTGCAGCAGAGTAGGCACAGAGTCAGAAACTTTTAGCCACTGGGAATATTTAAGCTGAGGCTATGCGACCACCTGGAGGGATGATGTGATTAGAGGCATGTATCTCAGAGGACTGGAATTAGATTCTATGCGTTTTTAAAATGTTCTTTTAAAATGACTTTGTTGAATGGCAGGATTTCATTTTAAAATTTTATGAAAATCCTGACTTTTAATCTTTTAAAACATCACTTTGTAACTGAGAGTCTTAAAATCTTGGAACGAACGACCTTCAGTTATCATTTTAAAATCTTAAAACTAAGCACGAATTTAAGAGCTAATGAAAAGAAAACATTCAAGAGGTATAACTTACTCCAAAATACTTCTGGAAGCATTATGGATTTTGATGAATATTCTTAGGCATTCTTAAGTAAAGTTCTATTAGAAATGTTTTATTGTCCCTCCAATATAAAAAAGTGCTGTGATTTGATATTCTCAGAATTAAATGTAATCTGGTATAACCGCAGAAGAAAATTCTGCCTGAAAGATATTTGGGGTCCAAGTATATGTACATGAAAGGCAATCATGGAAAGTGCCTTGGCTTCTGCTACTAGCATGATAATTACAAGGGAGGGCTTACCCACGGAAATAAGAAAGTGATGACTCTGGTTTTTGCCCAGTTTCCATCGTTTCAGTATTTTGAGCTAAATGGCATCTGACATGGGAGACTTTAGTGGTAGGAATCACTGAAACTATCCTGTTTATCAATCGTTTAGTGCATACAGCTTTCAAAAAATAATTTAAAAAACTCAGATCTATACGATTTATTAGTAACAAACTCAGTAATTTTATAGTGTTACTGCTTTAGCATTCTGATGCATTTTTGACACTTTTGAGCTTCAATACAAATCACTGAGGTGGATGATGCATTTTAAATGAATAAATGGAATTGCAGAGCAATGAATTCAGCTTACAGATTCATGTAGTAAATGGTACAACTCAGCAGGACTGAGATCTTCAGATATTACAGACTAATGTTTCAAAATAGATGTTTTCTAAGTAAATACTTTTCCACCATTGCCTTCAATATGCTGTTTTACATCAATCATTCAGATTTCCATCATTTAGAAGGTGCCTCCTTGAAAAAATATTTACCTAAGATTCCACACCACAAGCTGGTTTGGACTGAGGGAGATTATGAAGTTAAAAATGTATGGTTTTTGCTGTCAGACAGAGGCTTATCAGCTTGGACACATTTCAAGGGGAAAAAAAGGTCAAATGTTTTGGTACAAGGGTGGATTTCATAAGAAGAAAATAACACTGAGGGGGACTTGCTGGCTTCTCTACTTTGTCTCTCTCAGCATTTAAAAATGTTAATACTATTTTCTCTCCTTGGACATCA